AGAGAAAGGGGGGGGGGGGGGGGCAGCGGGGGATTTCAGAGTCACCGGCCACAGTCTCTTCTCCCCTCTCATGCTTGCTACAGCGGTCTGTGATAGGGACACAGCCAGCACCAGCAGGGAGAAGAGAATGTCCACACGGAACACTTACTGACCGCCACGCTGTCAAACTTTCGTCCCGAGAGGTCAGAGCTGAGAGGGAGCCTGCGTTTGGTGGAGAGGTATTCCGGGGGAGGGGCTATGCGGGTCAATGGCTTCTCACGTGCTGCTTTCCTTCCTCTGTGGCAGCCGAAGCTATTTGAAAAAAAATTAAAGGGCGGTATCGGCTCTATGTATCAGGACATTTTCAGGAGTACAAGTACTCCTGAAAATGCCCTGTATCGGCCCCGATACCAGTATCGGTATCGGGACATCCCCAATAACTAAATACAATAGGTGTGTGTATTCTTACTGGAATCTTGGTGTCTTTGTGTATTTCCTCCAGATCTATGCAGTAATCCAGTTTGGCCCCTGTCCAGGAGCTTCCTGTAATAAAGACCAGTCATTGCTGCCCTCTGTCCTTGAGAGAATGGCTGGTCTTGTATCCACCCCTCCTGCAGTTTTCTGGTGGCAGCCAGTAGTGAGTGGGGCCTGATGGGTCCCTCCCACATGTCTGCTCTCCACACAGGCCATGTACAGCACAGTGATGATGTCATACCTATTTGTACATTGTAATATTTGGGTTTGCAAAGACTTTGGTGCACACAAAGTGAATGTATATCCTTTGTGGCTATTAAAGAATATATTTAAATTGAAATTCTTTATTGACTACTGTTACCTTCTATCACTGTCATGAAATATAGTGGTTACGTTGGAAATATTTGGTGATAGGCCCACTTTAAAGCTTGCAATGTGCTGAAGTGACTTTTTTTTTCCCTGCATGAGAATTAGGCTCTATATTTTCTTTCCTCAGGTAATGAAAATTGCAATCATGCACACTTTCCGAATAGACAAGGCTCGGAGGGAACTTGGCTACAACCCAAAGAAATTCGCCTTTGCTGATTCTGTGGATTTTTATATCAGAAACCGAAAGAGTCCAACCCAGCAAAAGCTAAATGCTACAAACGTATTGCGAGTTTTGCTGTGTTTACTTGTATGTTTGTGCTTGGTTTTACTTTTATAGATCTTTCATGCAGAGGTAGGCAGTTAGTCCAGCGCTAGTACCAAAAGATGTAGGGTGGCCAGACAATCATTGATAAGGCATGCTCAGCTCAGTTCACATTTGACTTATTGGCTCTACTCAGAAATGTATAGATCAACCAAATATAGAAGAACCTATAAGTCAAAGTACACTTGTATGCTATAGCATTAACAGTAGCCTTCAATGGAAACCAAATCATTTGCTACGTGTTATTATTTCTTCCCATTTAATCAATACAGCAAGGCACACAGATATAAAATCATATACCCACTACTGTAGATGATACCAATATTAAAGGAGAAGGATGAAAAGAGTAAACCTACTCTTGCTGCTGCTTAGAGCCAGCACGACACTCCAGCTATCTGCCGCTGGCTCTAAGACAAGCAGCTGACCAATCACATGACCGCTGATCAGTCAGCTCTCGGTCCCTCCCTCTCTAGTGCTAGCTGAAGCTACAGATAGGGGAGGAGCCGGCGCGACTGGCTCCAGATCCCAGCTACGTTCAGAGAGGCAGACCCAGTTGTCATTTAAGCAGCTTGGGTGGATCCTGACGATATTGTCAGGATACTTCTCAACTGCGGCATGACTGTTGCCTGTCAGGAGTAGGGATGAGCTCAGGTTTGGAGCAAGCCCAGTCTAAACCTGAGCTCCTCCAAACAAGGAAGTACCATGGCCACTAACCCAATCAGCTGCGGTACAGACCACCCAGAAGCTGCAGGTAAACAAAGTGGCGGGATGATGGCCGGCTTGACTTGACATTATTTACTTAATATGGCCAAATGGAATAACTCCCCACCCGCAGTTGATTGAGTGTCACAAAAGAAGCTTCTTTCCATGTTCTGGGGGATTTCCTTGTGGGTTCAGAGGAGCTCAAGTTTGGACTGGGTTTAGGCTTAAGCCTGAGCTCATCCCCAGCCTTAGCCCGCTATGTGCTTTGTGTCGCAGAGGTACATTAGTGAGTGAGAGGATCTTCTTTCTGGATATTTAAAATTAAACCCCAATCAAAACTGTTATTATTTTGGATTGAGTGGTGGAATGATCAAATCTTTGTCAGTTTTTCTATGACTATGTCCCCTCTGGGGAGATTTGTCTTCACTTCCTGTCCCAGAGGCACAACTGGAAGAAAGTTGAAGTCTCATCAAAGTGAAGGGAAATCCTTTTATATAGACATTTGCACCGGAACAGATGTCCCCTTTCAAGAGTTCTTTCCTCCTGTTCCGCTCACAACTGCAAAATTTAGAAAATCCCATCACTTTCTGCCCTGGTGACAGTGGTCAACAGGACAGATAGAGATGGTGAATTGCTTTCGTGGGGACACAGGTAGAGGTAGTAGTCAAGTGCAGCTTCATACAAAAACTAAAAAAACAGCCTTTTGGCTAGTACTGAATGTTAGCGGAGGTCCAGTTTTCACCTTACTCCAGAATTCCTGTGTATTACCCACTTTGTGCAACAATGTAAATAATATTATGGTGTGTTTATTTAGTAGAAAAGCTTTTAATGCACGTAGGTGTATTATATATTCTGAGTTTTTTGTATGCATCAAAGTTCTTAAAAATGATGATAGGCAACACAGTGTCTTAGTGGTTAGCACTCCTGCCATGCAGCACTGGGGTACTCGGTTCCATTGCCTTCATGGAGTTTGCATGTTCTCCCTGTACTTGCCTGAGTTTTCCCCGTGTACTCTAATTTCCTCCCACACCCCAAAGAAAACTGGCTCTTGTATGTGTATGCATGTGAGATAGAGACCCTAGATTGTAAGCTCTTTGAGGACAAGGACTGATGTATTTGTACTGTATGTAAAGCACTGTGTAAATTGTCGGCACATTATAAATACCTTTATTAATAATAATAAAAATGGGATCTGGTCAAGAATTCCATTAGGTCAAACAAAAATATGGCTTCATCCGTGCATCTGAATTTGCAGATAATGTGAGGCACAAATGAGAGAAGAAGTGTCCATGAATCTTGTAGCACGCCTTACCAGAAATCCTATTGAGTTTATGGGTGCTCGAAATTACCGCGGATGGCGCCGCACACAATAGAACTTTAAACAAGGATGTCATCAGCACACCAGCATGACAAACTCCAAGTCAGTGCAAATCCATTTATTGAAAGATGTCACTCAGATTGACAAGCGCTTTCGGGGCCATACAGGGTCCCCTTCATCAGGGTCAAAGTAGTCGTCTGCTTTAAGGCTGAAGAAGGGGACTCTGTGTGGCCCCGAAAGCGATTGTCAATCTGAGTGACATCTATCAATAAATGGATTTGCACTGGCTTGGACTTTGTCGTGCTGGTGTGCTGATGACATCCTTGTTAAAAGTTCTACAAAGGAGAGAAGGGCGCACAGAGACAGAAGAGCACAAGTGTAGTTTTGTGCGTTGAATGATATAAACAGAATGTTTGGCCGTTATATGCTCTTCATGTAATTATTACTCCCAGAGAGTGCAATGCAGTGACAAAAGAGAGGTATTATCATACAAGGCACATTCGCATCCTTGTAAACCTGCATTGTGTTAAGGCAGCCCATTTATCTGAATGGGCCACCTAATGCGCAAAAACGCACCAACATAGGTGCATGTACTAATAAAAATTGTGTGCTACATCTAAGTTCACCAAAAGAAATGTGTTACGAGGACTACTTTATACACTGTAGTGCTTAGCATAAATAATCAATAATAAATCATCAATTAATCGCCCGTGCCCTCCACAATTATTAAATAGACAAGTGTGAACAATAGATAAGCGATCAATTATACACCTGTGTCTACCACAACTATTAAAAGAACTATGGCCCAAACTTTTTTGCCATTGTTCTCTTTAGGGTCACAGGAAGACATATACTAATGTCCTCCTGTGACCCAAAACTCAGCTATATGACGACAGCGCAGAGCCGCTCTGCAGCCGGGATGGATCCCAACAATATTGTCAGGATCCACCCCACTACCTGATTGACAGCTGACTTTGCCTCTCTAGAGATAAGATATAGATAAGTGATCAATTATTCATCTGTGCCTACCACAATTATGAAATAAATACCTAAATATAATATACATACAGACCAACATGAACAATAAATATATTATATAATATATGTGTATTATATGTATTTATTTCATAACTCTGGTAGGCACAGGTGATTAACTGACATATCTGTTATATGTACGCCAAGGTGCATGCAGTGTACCACAACACATGCTAGTGTTACAGTAAGTTGTGGTAGACTGGGCTGCCTGCAATACAGATGCATTGGTTAAGGTGCGTTTGGGGGCCATTCTGAATGAAGTGCAGCGCAAGTGCAGCGCAATAACACACACAATGTTCATTGAACTCATTGCCACAACATAACTGTGTGTATTCAGCCACAATAAAATTCAAAATGTAATACACTCCCAACGATCAACCCTGCTGATCCTGCGATCGAACAGTGAGCTTGACTGGAGAATGTCTGCACATTATTCATCCAGTGAAACTACATGTACATTCTTTCTGTGCAAGTTACCCAGCTTTTTTGAGAATAGGACAAAACGAATAATGTTTATTGTGGTCAAATGTTCTTCAATAGGTGAATTCACACAGAGCAAAGTGAATGGGGAAAATATCACCTCATGGCCACTAGATGGAGCTGAAGATCAAAGCAAATAAATACATGTTAAAGGAGAACTATGAGGTGAGTGTTTTTCACTCACCTCATAGTTCTAGCCGACCTGTGACAATGAGACTGTCACAGGTCAGCTCAGTAGATCGGGAGGTGAGCGAACACATACCGGCATTCGCTCACCTCTCGATCCTGTCACGGGTCTCTGCCGCGACAGGGGAGGGGCTGGATTCCCCCCTACCTGATCCGCCAGCGCTGACTGGCGGAACGGACGGGGGAGGGGCTCGGGTACAGCTGGCTCTGCCTCTAGATAGGCAGAGCCAGCTGTCAGTCATGCAGCTGGGCGGAATCCCGGCATAATTGTCTGGATCTGCTTCAGCTGCGGCGTCTCAGTGCGGCAACAGCTCGCGATATACTGAGCCTAGGGTGACGGGAGGACACTAGCTTGTGTCCTCCCGTTACCCAAAGGAGAACTAAAGACTTAACCCCATAGTTCTCCTTTAATAATGAGAAGCACGCTTACGTTTATTTACTCATGCTCTTCAATGTCTGTAGGGTTGTAACTATTGATACTACAGGGATAGCGATGATTACCATCATATGCTCATCCCATCCAGCGAGCTCTTCAATTCCAACATTGTATCTCCTTATAGACTATCATCATACATAGAGGCATGCATATCCAAATAATCAGCAGTAAAGAAAAATGTTTCAAATTGAGATGATTTTAAAGTATATGTTTTAAAAATGTTTAAATAAAGATTTGTTATATTTTGTACAAATATCACTTTCCGTTCCTTGGAGTACCTTAAAAGTCATATTTTTCTTTTTCTTTTTTTTATTGTACCTCGTTACTAACATGTATTTATTTCCTTTGATCCTCAACTTCATCTAGTGGCCATAATATAATAAATAATATTTTCACCATTCACTCTGTTCTTAATACCTATTGCAGAGCATTTGACCAGAAGAGAAATTAGACTAAGAACATTCGTGTTTTCCCCATTCTCACAACAACTGGTTAAAGGAGAACTATGAGGTAAATGAAAATCACCCATCCTCAAAGTTCGAGCCGACGTGTGACAATGAAACTGTCACACGTCGGCTCACTACTGTAGATCGGGAAGTGAGCGAACACATAACGTCGCTCGCTCACTTCTCGATCATCTCCCTGCAGAGAGCGGTGACTGGCAGTCATTACCCCCCGCAGGGATTCCCCCCTCCCCTGTCCGATCCTCCAGCGCTGACTAGAGGAACGGACAGGGGAGGGGGCGGGTACAGCTGGCTCTGCCTCTAGATAGGGGGTGGATCTCGACAGTAATGTCAGGATCCGTCCCGGCTGCAGTGGTCTCAATATACCGTGAGCTTTAGCTCGCGATATACTGAGCTTTGGGTCATGGGAGGATGCTAGTATATGTCCTCCTGTGATCCTTAAGAGAACTATGGGGAAAAACACTTACCCCATAGTTCTCCTTTAACTCGCACAGAACAAATGTACTTCCAGTTCAGCTGGATAAAGATATGTGAACATTTTATAAATAGACCCCTTTGATATATGTAGCCTATTGCCTGTCCGAGCTGCAAAGAAAAATACAAGCTTGAAAGTAAAATGAGTAAAGAATAGGATTGTTTTTTTACAATTGCAAATGATTTGTGTGATTTACTTGTCATTTAAAAACCAGCGTGAGAAGAAAAACACATTCTGTAAAATAACTAACATTATGTAACTACAGCATGTTTATTCAATATGTCATTATTGTTGCAAACAGATTTAGCCACAGGCTGAGTATGATGTTACAGCTGTAATCAACAATTGTTAGTTAAAGCTGAGATCCAGGATAAATAAATATTGTTTAAATACAAGCGGTATTTGTCTCCTCATTTAAATCTTGGTGTGCTTTGTGTATTTTCAGATCCATAAGTAATCCATTATGAAACTTTGCTTCTGTAAAAGAGCTTCCTGTGATAAAGACTGTTCACTGTTGCCCTCTCTCCTTGTGCAGGGTGACTGGTCTTGCCTCCGCCCCCCTGTAGTTTTTGCAGGCAGTCTGTAGTGGCTGGGGTCTGCTGGCTCCCTCCCACAGCTCTGCTCTCTGCACAGGCTATGTACAGCACAGTGATGATGCTACTTTTACTTTAAAGTTAGTGTTTGGGTTTGTGAAGGTATTTGGTAGACGCTAAGTGGATTTGTATCATTTGTGACTATTGAGAATTATTTTTAAATAAACGTTTTTGTGCCCGGAGCTCAGCTTTAAAGTGACGTTAAAGGATAGTTTTTTTCACTCCCCCCAATGTTAATGTCAGCACATACCTTAAATGATGTCTCTTATTCCGATCTTCATCTTCTTTCCTGATGTTTGTCCCTCCAGCGGTGCGGCGGCTCTCCGATCCAGCGCTGACTCCTCTCTGCTTGCAGGCATTTCCGATCCAGCGGTGCCTGCATGCGGGTGCACGCGTCCATAGACTTACCTTGCGTCTCTGCTCGTCTCCCGCCCGAGAATCCAAACTGCGCATGGAACAGTTTCGGATTCTCGGGCGGGAGCGCGCAGCGA